ACAGGCCCTAGTTCACCAGCCAGTCACTGATCAGCTTAAATGCACACTAATATTCCACTGTCTGATACGGCTCATGTAAACTGCATATTCTCTCTGGATATTCTGAATTAAGCCTTTTACCAAATGTAAAATTTTCCAATTAAGACATGAGATATGCCGGAATTATTCTGCTTTTAGGAGCTTTTCTCATGCAGAATATGCATCTCAAATTGGGGGGGGGGGGGGGGTACACAGCCTGTTTACAGTCAGCTCTCTGTGTGTTATACACAAACCGAATAGCCAACAGTTTGCAAGGGTGTGGGATGCTCAAAAGAAAAGCCCACATTTCTGGTTGGAAGCAAAAACACACTGACTTTAAACTAGAGGTTGACAAAATTCATTGGTTTGGCCGATAAGCCACTTAATATGAACTATTGTTAATGGCGGAACGGGGCTCTGATAGTGGCCGATAGCTGTAACCTCCACTTGTCACATGGGTACGGCCGTACCAAATACATGGTAATGTGTGCTTTAGATTATTTGTATAATTCACTTAGAAGTTAAGTTATAAAGGTCAGCTTTACTTCTTTATACTTCCATAATAAGGTTGGTTGTAGAATAGCATTGTGTGCTTTCTCTGTTTTGCCAGCCAGCATGGTCGGTATAATTGCGGTAGAATTAAGTAGCAAGCAATGTGTGTGAAATTAATTTCTGATAATGTAAAGGATTATTAACTCATAACAGGTCCGCCACTGGTAGGAAAACTTTATTAAATAATCCTATTTTGATGCAAGACGCAAAGCAGCTCCAGCTGTTCCACTTTCCATATTTTGACATCTTGATTGGCCTATTAGGGAGTATTGATCAGATTATGCATGGCTGCATGTAATCAGGAATATTAGTGGAATACTTGATGTCATTAGCCATGTAAACATCTTATCAGGAATATGGTCTTTTTTGGAATTAAAAAGCAAAAACCTGAATATGTTGTGCATGTAAACGAGGTTTCTGTGTCTATCTGTTGTATGGTGCTGGGCAGGTAGTGCGCAGTTGGTTAATTAGAGTTCTTTAACTAAAAACAGCTGCCTGCTGCTGATGAGAAAGGCTAGAGCGAATCAAGACAGTGCAGTTGCGGGCCATAAAACCAAAGCAATGAACAATCCCAACTGAATTATCTGATCCCCATATACATTCCAGCTCTGACCCCTGAACCTAAACATTCCACAATCCCTACAGAATAATCTGACACCCCCCACACACATTCTCAAATCCCACCAGAACATCCTGAACCACCCCGAAGTCAAACATTACAGAACCCCTAGAGAATGCTCCAACATTCCCAAATCCCACGGGAACATTTTGATTCCCTCATCTAAACATTCCACAATCACCAGAACGTCCCGATCCTCGTCTTCCACTAAACAATCCAGAGCCCCACCTAAACGCCGACCAGTGTCAGTGTTCTGGAAATCTCTGGTGTTACGGAGGTCAGAGTGATGTCACAGCTGAGATGGAGACAGGAAGGGCTGCAGGAAGTTCATAAAGAACAAACATGGCTGGTGGGGAAAGGGAACAATAACATCTTGTGATTAACAGTTAAGTCTATGTATACACAGACCCTGACGCACACATGGAGTTTACGTCATCCTGTAACCATGAATTCTGCGATTAAAACTGCTGTGCTGCATGTCTCTGTTTGACAGATAATTGTAATCTGAACTCTATTGCTCTTATTAAAAGTCAAATGTGGTGACATTTAGATGAAGCATCCCTACCGCATACATGTCAGAGAGCGTGTGTGTGTGTGTGTGTGTGTGTGTGTGTGTGTGTGTGCTAAACGTTGTCAGAATTCTTCGATTTTGTTGCTATGAATCGAAGAAGGCAGGGAGTCTTTAAATCTTCTTTTGCTACTGTTTTAAAGCACAGTGCTGCAGTGCCCATTAGAGACCTGCTCCTAATGGCATTTACATAAGGCTAAAGTTGTTTGCTGTAAGCCCACAGCCTGTGCCCTCTCTGAATCCAATCAATGCCAACATACAAAGAGAGCACCAATCTGGGCCTAATTAAATGTCACATTTAACTCTCTGTCTGCTACCTCTCTTTCACACACGCATAAGCATGGATATAACAAATCAATACCCAGGGGAAATGGACTGGAAGTGTATTAGGTTATTGGGATTGATCCCGGCCGAAAGAATGGTTGCGGATCCATCCCAGAGCTGTGCAATGATCTTTCTAGATACGCACACACACTCTCACGGAAATGATATGATTGAATCAGCCTGGATCACATTCAACTTTCAATGGCAGAGCTCTTGCCCTGCAGACAGACTCGGTGCCAGGTGCTGTTCTCTGCCCTGCAGACTGAATCACCCAACCTCAGAGTGTCCAAGCTGTCAGCACACACACTTGTCACGAATGATTAAAAGACGGCTGACTCACTCACCGTCCTCGTAAAGTGGGCTTCGGGTCGATGTGCGCACAAGAGGGGAGAAAGTGATAAAGAATGACAGGAGGGTAAGACGGGAATAAAAACACCTGTCAGTATGCGAGTGTGTTCTGAAACGGCAGGTGCAAGAGTATATTGTGTGAATGAATACTTAATGTGAGCCTGGACAGTAAACTATCAGGAGGCCCATATCACATGACCGGGTCACTAACCATACTAATTGTTTTTTTTGTCAGCAGAGCCGGAGTAGATTTGCTCTGCCCATAAATCATTCATGACTCATTCCCCAGACCTTTGTGGGGTAATTCAATTTCCTTTCACTTGAGATATGGCCGGTGTCATGTTTAGCTATTTCATTTATCTCATTATGAAGGTGACTGTGTGTTTTAATCAGCTGTAAACATGGGTCGTTTAAAAAGTCTGCCTTTAAAAGATCAAGAAATTTGAGGATTACTGGGGATGAAAATGTAGCAGAGCAGGAGCTGATGATCATTTTGAGAAACAACCACCTGACGCATGAAGTTCACATAACAATGGTGGAATGTGACAGTTACATTTACCTATGAAGTATGTGAATTTTTCCTTTTTCTCCATTGCATTCTTACACATCACTACATTTTAAAGCAAAGAAAATATTGTACTTTCGGATAATTGAATTGCGGAGATATTTGAAACCGGCAAACTTGTTTATTTTTGTTGTCTTTTTTCAGCTGTAACTGAACAACCAAATCTACAGGCACGAAAACTGGCGGCCGAGGGCTGTGCGACTGTGAACATCGCTGCATTGTACAAATACATGTGTTTTTTGCACTAAGCACCACTATACTGTTGTCGGGTATAAGCCAGCAGTATGTTTGTTGGGTTAATTTAGCAGTCTGTAATGCTTTGGTACCACAAACGATAACGTGAATGCTAATGCTAGATTGCTAACTAGCTAATTTGCGGTCGTCATTTCCAGTGAGTGCACAATGGCCGTGTTTGGTTTGAGACAACACTACCCTGTTGAAATTCGCACACTACGCCAATAAGTACATAGTGCACATAGTATACTACATGGAAGTATGTGATTTGAGACACAGCATCTGTCTTCCATAGTACAAAAACTTGGTGTATATCTGACTAAAACTGACTAATTGACAAAAAAAAAAAGACTTTAACTTGGAGCTCTGCCTTCTCTAGTTATGAATCATTCATTTTGCTTATAATTCTTCTGAACTTTTACTTGTAAGGCATAATTTTATAATCTTAATAATAATAATAATCATTTTGGTGTACAGTTTGACTTCTAAAATACAAAAACTTGATGTATATTTGGGCAAAACAGCGACTTTAACTTGGAGCTCTGCCCCCTTTAGTTATGAATTATTCATTTTGCTCATAATACTTCTGAACTTTTACTAGTAAATGAATGATTTCACAATCTAAATACCTATTCCACCACTGAGTGCTTCTCTTTATGTATACTTTCACCTCCACTGTAAAGAAGCTTCGTTAAGGTTTGAGTAAAATCTTGACTTTAATTTGGAGCTCTGTCTTCTTTAGTTATGAATTATTCATTTTGCTCATAATACTGCTGAACCTTTACTTGTAAAGGAACAATTTTATAATCAAATTACTTCTTCCATCACTGAGAGCTTATCTTAATGTACACTTTGTCTTCTATAGTACAAAACTTGGTGTATATTTGAGTAAAATATTGACTTTAATTTGGAGCTCTGCCTTCTCTGGTTATGAATTATTCATTTTGCTTTTAATACTTCTTAACTTTTACTTGTAAAGGACAAATTCTATCATCTGAATACTTCCTCCACCACTGTGTGCTTCTCTTTATGTATACTTTGACATTTTTAGTACAAAAAACTGGTGTATATTTGAGTAAAACAACAACTTTAATTTGGAGCTCTTCCTTCTCTGGGTATGAATTATTCATTTTGCGTGTAATATCTCTGAACTTTTACTTGTAAATGAAGGATTTTACAATCTAAATACTAATTTCCATCACCGGGGGCCTATTATAGTGTACGCTTTGTCTTCTATTGTACAAAATATTTGGGCAAAACAGCAACTTTGATTTGGAGCTCTGCCTTCAGTTATGAATTATTCATTTTGCTCATAATACTTCTGAACTTTTACTGGTAAAGGAATGCTTTTACTATCTAAATTCTTCTTCCACCATTAAGTGCTTGTCTTTGTGTATACTTTGACTTCCATAGTACAGAAGCGTGGTGGATATTTTGGCAAAACAGCAGCTTTAATTTGGAGCTCTGCCTCCTCTGGGTATGAATTATTCATTTTGCTCATAATACTTCTGAACTTTTACTTGTAAGTTAATGATTTCACAATCTAATTCTTCTTCCACCATTAAGTGCTTGTCTTTGTGTATACTTTGACTTCCATAGTACAGAAACGTGGTGGATATTTTGGCAAAACAGCAGCTTTAATTTGGAGCTCTGCCTTCTCTGGGTATGAATTAATTAAAGTGGGTGTATTCGATATCCCCCGCAGCCCCTCCCTGTGTGTAACACGGTGGGCGGGGCGTACTCGCACATTGTGCTCTTCTGGCTCGCTGGGTTCAGACGGATTACCGCGGCGGGCTGGCTGAAAGACGAATCACACCGTCGCCGTCGCTCGGTTTTTCCAGCAGCTGTGGCGGCGTGAGGGAGCCGTGATGGCATGTGTGGCACGGACGTTAACGGACAGCGTTCAACTTTACACTTGAGGACAACAAACCAGGCTGAGTCCCGAGATTATGTCCGGAGCTTGTCTTGCTGCTGTGGAGAAAAGTTTCCCAGGAGTAGGCATACATTCACACCAGCGGCGGTAACATGGTAAATATACGTTTACTACTGTGACGAAGTTAGCTCGTGTTAGCTAACTAGCTTGATTTATAAAACATGACGAATGAAGTTAGTAGGGAAAACAAGCGACTTCTCCATGTTGAAGTATCCCATACATTACCTTGTGTCATGGTGGCCACGTCGATAGAAGGTAAACCTGGTGTTAAATAGGTGGAAAGTGTCCAGTTTGACAAACACAAAAAGAGTTGACAAGTTACTCTAATGGCTTTTCGTCTTTTAACAAACCAACCGTCGAGTTTCTGTCATTAGAGGAGTTGGAAATCCTCCTCTTCATCTTTTTTTTTCCATAGTGGACTCTCTAATAACAGCTGACACACCGCTCACACCGACTAGTCCCTACACGTCTTCCTCTTCTGCGCCTACACCAACATGTCATTTTAAAAGTCTTGAATTCTTCTTCGCTTGCCTGGAAATGTGCATGTCGGCTACAGCATAACATCTTGACACTCCACATGCATCCTTAGGAGCTCTTGCACATTTCGGCTCAGATCTGTCACTCCTTTCACTGCATTTCCCTGATTTTATGGCATCTTGAATATCACTCTTTGTATATGCATCTATGTGTGAGGCATCGTTAAATTGACAGATTTTATAATGGAGTTTGGTGGAGATGAACAGATTGTTTTACAGATAATCTGCTGACCAGACGGCGCACTTGTAATGTTTTTGACACTGTGCTAAGGTGGCTTTTATGTTGTAGACTTTTTTTTTTTTAGTGTCTAGATATCACGTAGCTTGTTTGCAAAGTAAGCACCCTCAGGCAAATCCAAGTGGTGGAGCAGGTTGTTCCAGCCTGTGAACAGGTGTTGCATTGATTTCAGAGGAAGATTCAAATATTTTCTCCGTTATCATACGCAATTATATGAAGTTGATATGTAAATAATGAGACGCCAGGGGAGGTTTCTGTTTTCCTAAGGTGCGGGTTCAAGTTTCTGTTGTATCACAGAGCTCCTTATGTTGCTGTTGGATGCCACAAATGCTATGGTGACATGCTTTGGTCACTACTGTCTGTTTCCTCCCCAAAGGTTGAATAACATGACATGTTATGACAGAAAATGCAAGTGATTTTTTCCATTCTTCTCTGACCCAGTTGCAGAAGGCTCACGTACAGTACAGAGAGCCTTGTACAGAACATACTTTGAAGCTGATAGTTACACGACAGCTTTCCAAAGAGGAGGAGGTCTAAATGGAAATTGCCATGCCTTGAAGGTCCCTTAAAATTGCTTAAAAACCCCAATTTTCTCCTTCAGTGTGGCTAAATTTGAATATAATTGTTAAAAGAGCCATCACAACCATTAGAGAGATTGGATTTTTTGCCAGCTGACACCCACTTACAGTCAACCATGTCTCTGTGGTACACAGTCCTGCTGTCTGTGAAGCATCGGCACACAGAGGCACACACAATAACACATGGAGGCATTTTTCACCACATGACACCTTTATGAGCTGCTCAGGGACTGGAGGCAGATCATCCCGTCCTCAGTTGTTAACCTTTATTTTACAACACTCGAGGGATGCTGACAAAAGTGTCGACTGAGCATCTTTCCAGCACCCGGGGAGCTGCCCAGTGCAAACATAGTTTACTGCTGAGCAGCTATGTTGGTGCAGGATGAAGAGCCTTGCCCAAGGGCACCTGAGTGGCAGTTGTTGTGGAGGGATATAGCATTAGTCATTCTCCTCAAGCATCTTTTCCAGACAGTAGACTGGAAAGTCTGCATAGGAGGAGGTGGAGGAAGTACTTAGAGTAGGATCTGTTGACTGAAGTTTGGTTTCCACTATAACACCTCCATCTTTTTTTAACTGGTTGAATTGAATACAATTCGTTTTTATGATCAAAAATAGTTTAAATGTTTGTATACATTCAAAGTTTAGTTCTAAGTTGATGTATTGGAATTGCTTGTTATATTCATGCAACTCTCCAAAACCCATAGATATTCAGTTTGTCATATATGAACAGGGAAAAAAATCCAAGAAAATGTTTTGCATTTAAAGATAAAAAACATCGACTGTCCAGCTCAGTCATTGTAAAAGTCCATAGTACAAGCAGATGGTCCAAAAATGCATCCGAGGCACAATGACTGTTGTTAAAAATCTTTATTAATACATGGATAAACCAACGTGGTTCAACGAGAGAGTCTTCATCAGGGTGTAAAATGCACTGGAAGTAGGTGTGCAATATAAGAGCTCATGTGAGGGTCATGTGACATATTGGTGTAACCCTTCTAGACAAAAAAAACCCCACCAGTGGCAGGAACTGAAAATATAAGATATGTACGACAAGGACTGTCACACATATCTTATATTTTTCAATTCCTGCCACTTTATGTGCAGGTTTCTCACAATATATAACATTTTTTATTTTATTTCACTGTTGTTTCCTTTCTATTTATTTGGCATCAAACCTTTTTTTTGTTGTTACTAAATATGTTGATTATTCACAGTATACATTTATGTCATTTTCATTGCAATGTGGTTTTTTGTCTAGCCTAACTTTAAGACTCAGCACAATGGTTAAGTTTTCACCTTCACTTTCCATCTGGGCTCAGAGCATGATCTGCGCTGCGAGACTGGGGAGCAGTGAATAATTGAACAGTATATATATTCCAACACCTAATTAGCAGCCCAACTCCAAAAATAGAAAATCAAACTGTGGCAGCAGATGTTTTAATCGTGGTGGGCCACCACAAATAAATGTGTGGTGGAAACCCTGTCTATATTAATGTATTTGTTGTTGGCCTAAAAGTAGACAAAGTATATTGAGGTGGTAAAGGTTATAATAAACAACCAATAATTATAGTATGTCATTTAAGAACATTAAAACACCTATGCACCTAATACGAACTTAAACTCTTTATCAACACCACAGGGCTGACTAATAAGGGCGTTTTCAAACCTTCACGTTTTACCCCGGTTGAATGGCTCATTTTCTTACTTGGTACACTTTGTTTGAGCACATGAATGAACAGGCTTTAAAGAAACTAATTAAACTAACCACATTAAGGCTACAGACAACCCGCAATGCAACACTCTCTGTCGGAGGCAGTACTCTGTGTTTAAAAAGAATATTTGATGTTGTGATCAAGCAAATCCTTGAATATGATACAACCTCCCATTTCTAGGATTTCATATTGTTTTAGACTTGAGCCGGTACAGTATGTTGTTTAATGAGAGGCCTGGATATTATACAGCAGGCTGAAAAATGTGTGTCTCAACCTTGTCTCTGTCCCATCATACATAACGCACAATATAACATTTGGCATTTCCTCAGCAACTCCTCAGTTCAGAGGGTTGTGGTCTTCTGAAAGACTTTGTGTGTGTGTGTGTGTGTGTGTGTGAACTGTTAGAGATCAACATGCCGACTTCACCTCTGTTGTGATGAAAAGGGATGACAACTGATATCAGTGAGTCCATTGATTTGTTTATTTGGGTAGAAAGACTGTAGTGGACATGGTTTATTGAAATATCAATATGGACGGTGCTTAAAGGTCTCTCGTGTGTGTGTGTGTTTATATAAGCCTAAACAGAGTGTGTGGGGGTGGTGGTGTATAATTAATGCATCATGGTCGCCTTTGCTCTCACTGTCTTTACATCACTTTCAAAGAGGAAGATTTCGTGCTTGCGGGCCGGACTTTTGTTTGTGTGTGCATGTGTTTTTTGATTCAAAGGAAAGAGGATGGGGAGTGTTTCCTTCTGCTCCTGACAGAATTCCCTCTGGCCTGCAGTGTGTTTTCCTAAGATTATTGTCCCTTTTTTAGATTCGTGTCAATAAAGAGGAGGTTCTTTTGCCTAAAGCCTAATTCCGCTTTCTTGGCAAAGACATAACAGGAATTTGTTTATTTTGTTAAGATCATTTGATTTCCACCAGTCAAGTCAGGTTTGTTTTGGCTTGGAAATGACACAATACAAAGACTTAGGTAAGCCGTCTAAAGGAGGCGGTCCTCACCAGGCCTCAGTCTTAGATCACTAAACACCCAGAAAAGGCAAATAATCCAACCGTGCATGATCTGTTTCCCCGCCGTATTCAATAGCCATAACTATCTTCCAGTTAGGGCTGAAACTTTTAGTTGATAGACAGAAAATTAATCGGCACCTGTTGTGACGATCAATTTAGGGCTGCAGTCAATGATTATCTTGGATTTTGTTAATTAACCTGACAAATTCTTATTATTTTGTCTTTAAAATGTCATAACAGTGAAAGTCCATCAAAGGTTCCTACTTGGGATGTCAGGGATTTAACACCAAGAATATTTTTAGTCCTTAAGTTAGTTTTGCTAGTCAACGAGTAGTAGAACTAGTACTACACTGCATCACAACAAAGCTAATACGGCATTCACGCCACACTGGTTAGCTAGCTGCCGCTGTTTTGTATTGCACACCACCTGAGTCGGGTTGGAGCTAGCCATAGGCACCGCTCATTCAGCAATTACCGCTAGTAGCGCTGTCCCGACTCATTGTGACGTGGCTGCAGGCCCACCCTCTGGTCTCCCTCCAGGTTGCTCCAGTGAGTAAGCCACTTCATTTTGAACTATAAACCCCCTTTCAGCATTGTTAACTATTACTGTTAGCTCTGTTAGCACTGTTAGCTGCATCAGCAGGGCTAGTGGTGCTTACTTAATTAACAATGCTGAAGGGGTTTTACAGTTCAGAATTAAATGGACTAAATCTGTTGTGTGGACTCCCTACTTACGCTGAGCCATTTTGTGACAACCGCCTGATGATGTTTGGCCATAAAACATCCTCCAAGACCGTGGGAGGGGTGTCACACCTGCCCTATTAAGATCAAGATTCCACCTTGACATTGGGAATGCATGCTATGAATATACTAAACAGGGTTTGAGGAAAAAAATAGCATTTCACCCCCTTTTAACCTGTCTACCAAGTGTCCCCTTTACATTGGACTGGCTGTCATACAAACATACTTCCATATGGACAGTGACCTAAACCTCCACCAATTATCTTACCAGATCCAA